GGACCCGGCTCATCTCGTAAGAGCTACTGTTCAACAAGAAGAATCAAGAACCAATTTTCAGTATTTGTTCAGATTCCTTCTTCTGTGGGTTTTAAACACTGGGTATAAATTTAGTTTAGATCCTTCTGTGGACAGCATTTAAGACTTCACTTGGAAAGCAACATGAAGGTCACTTTATGTCCCAGAAGAGCTTCATGTTCTACTTTTCTGTGTTTTTTTGTCAAGACAACAAACAGACCAGCTGGACTCCTCAGTGCTATTTCCTTTGTATTTAAATTAATGTATTATAAAAAAACAGAACAATCAACCTAATGCACTTGTAGTATGGACTCACCTGTTCTCTCTCCACTCTCCTCTTTTCTTCCTCTGCTCTCCTCCTCTCTTCCTCTTCCTTACGCCTCCTCTCCATTTCTTCTAACCGCCTTTTCTCCTCCTGTTCTCTTCGCCTCTGCTCACGCTCTTGTTGCCTCCGAGCTTCCCGTTCTCTTCTTTGTTGCTACAGGCGGGTGAAAAAACCCAAATGTTACTATTATGGTCACCAAAGAGAAAGTTGGGGTTGATTTCTACTGGAAATCTGATAAGTCAAGTCTATAGGCCCCAGCAGCTCACACACAAGTGTTCCTAAATGTGCAGTAAAACTGTTCCACACATAAGAGGCAAGTATCCCGACATGGTCAATTGTGTTCTTGAGCTTCTTCACAACAAAGCTCCACATAATATTTTCCCACACAGTATATGGGGTTCACTGCTGCTTCTACCCCAAGACAAGACGTAAAGCTCAAACTGAAGTAGCTCTGAAGAAACAATGTGGTGAGGTTGCAACATACAGTCACCTTCTGGATTTCACCAACCTTTCCCATTGTCTACATTTTGCTGAAAAAAGGAAATTAAATGAAGTAGTCCCTTTCTAGATCATTTGCAGCAAATTTAACAATCCTATGAATACCTGATATGTGTTAGTCAATATGATATGTAGTTTGCTAGTCAATATGATATATAGTTTGCTATGAATCTGACTGCTGATTCAACATCACAAGCAGGGGGGCTGACAGATTGCTGGGCCCTTGGGCAAGGTGTGGGGAGAGGAGGAGCTTGGAATTTCCAGAAGGGGCAGGGAAGCCCCCCCCCAATGCCAGCCTGTAGCATGGTGCTCTGGTGGTGATTTAAAGGCTTCGGACTCTGGCCACTATCATTGTTGCAATAATGGTGGGGGTGCT